TAATTCGTCACTTCTATTGTTTAAAAGAGCATTAGGACCATGTCTGCCGCCTACAATGACAAGTGGGATATCTCGCCTGATTCTCGTCGAGTTCGTCACGGTAGACTAGACGTGTCTCCGCTACCCCCGACGACCACTGGACCTGTTCCAGAAACTCGTCGCGTTCTTCTCAAACGTAAACCCTCAGCTTCTGCTGACCAATCCGGTAACAACTTTGTTGCCCGCACCATGAGAGAAGTACTGAAAAACGGAGATTCCTCGGAGCGTGATCCAGCCGCCAAACGTCAAAGATCTAGTGTCGTTGTTGTTCCTACTGCTAATTCTCCCAAGCCATCAATTGATCGAAGAACAGTTTGCCCCATCCTCGTACGGGTGTTTTATTCTACCGATGGTCGGCACACACCTCTGTCCTGTTTCTCCAGTGGTAAACTGCCGTCAGCGGAGTTGCATATCAACACATGGTAAGGACATAATGCCCCAGGTTTGAACTGCTATCACGTTGTGGTAGAGCACTAGTAAATTGTTTAAACCTGAACAGGTTGGACGTTAACTTGAAGGACCTGTCCCACGAAGTACTATACGCCGTGAAGTCAATCCCGGGAGGCACTGCTACAAACAGACGACACTCGTTGCGATTGGGCCGAACTACTCGTTTCCACTTTGCGTCCATATACCCAGATCCTATTCAGCGTGGCTCATATCGTAAAAGAGATCTGGGCTCTTATATTATTCACCCTAGAGTAATCAACGATGAGGAAGAGAAGGACGTAACTGGAAATGGTGATGTAACTCTTGAATCAAAACACTTTCAGGTATGCCAGGGCGAAAAGGCATTTTCTCCGTACTATGATACATCACCTTTCTAATTTTTTAGATTGGTGACTACTTGGACGTTGCAATTTCTACCTTTGACGAGATGCGCGGCCCAATGGCTGAGGAAGGTAACCGTGCAAACTACCAACGACGGATGCACGACAGGAGCGAAGCCATACGTTTTTAATTCCATATTTGTACAGTTGCATTTTCAAAGAATAAATTTTCACTAAAGTAAGCGGCCTGTCTGTTTTTGATTCAGTGAAAATGCTACTACGTGATCGGGAGAAGGAAAAAAGGGTCCAAGAGACGATGAGAACTGGACGTTCTTTACGGCAACGTCCACAATGCGTAAGGTCACCAGATTGTCTTGATACACTAGGAAAAAGTTTTGAAAAAGCTTGAGGGTCTTACCTCTCATTGCTTGGTGCCGTCTCCTTCGATGAAATTGAAACCAGAGTGAGGGGTGTTGTAAAGTTTTTTCGACAATCATAGCTGTCACTAGGACATTACTTCTAGGGAGCAAAGGCCTGCCCACAATGGAGAAATCAGCATTTCCCGCAAGGAGAATTTTCTCCAAACGAATCATTTCACCCGGTTTGGCCTCAAGAAGGGGTGCTTTAACAGATATAAGGTCGTTGTTGGTGACTTTGAATTGCTTTCCAGCAAAATGGATAACTGCGAAGTATCGGGAGGCGTTTTTGGCTATGGATTCAACTACCTTTTTGCGGACCTCTGAAGGAAGGAGTAAGGGATAGAGCTTGGAAGATTACCATTGTAAACTTCGATATCCGGCTCTGATAGATCTCTTTTAAATGCCTCCTTATCCGGATCAATGACAATTCTAGTCGCGTAGCGATATTCACGAGAACTTACTTTTCTTCTTCAAGAACACCGTAAGTTCTGTTAATCTTGTAGCGATAGGGTTTCCTGGGTGTGTTCCGACGAATCCAATCAAATGCACTAAAACTCAGATGGATAGTCCTAGAAACGGCGACCAAAAGTGATTGATGTTGGCCAATTTTTAGGAAGAAAGAAATCCCAGAATCGGATAAAAAGCCGCATCGGCTACTTATGGCCATCGATTTTCAAAAAGGAGCTAAATACGGGGAGAAAATGTTACTATAAAATAAACTAGTTAGAACGGACTGTATCATACTCTATATCAAAATAAACGAATTAATATTAACTCAACTGTAATCTAATCAATTTTGGATAAAAAGACGTGGAGCGTAATCAACAACACCCAATGAAGTGCAGGCGAGGCAAGCTGAATTTTGCACAGAAAAAATAAAAGTATTGAGCAGAGATATCAAGTTGTTCCAACAAGTTGCCACAAGTTGAGAACGAAGATCGCAAACAACCAAATAAATAATATACTGGAAATGATAGAATGCATCAGACCGAGATAATAACGATTGGCGACACGAATTACACATTTTAAAACATAAGCCGAAATCACGGAAACAACAGACTAAACGATGGACATCACTAAAATAATAGATAGAGCACTTACATGAGTAAGGCATCAATATTGACAAGAGTTTTAATGGAAATGTTGACGTGAATAAAGACAGACAATGTCAGAACACATAAGAAATACCGGTACAGTCCTAAACCATCCCGACACCGATACCTGCACACAAATTGAAACGAATCACACATGGTCAGGGTCTACGATCTACCCATCCATAAAGCCAAGTGTAGGGGACGCACCTCCAGTCGCACAATCAGCTTCAAGTTCTTCGATTTTTAAAGCCAAGTAATTCTACTTTACTATGGGGATAAAACGCGAGCTTAGAAACGCATGTAAGTAAATGCTGGACGTATGAATAAGTGCTAAGACATTCTTAAGTAGTAATGGAGCTGTGAATTCATTTCAACATTGTGAGACTTGCATCAGGTGGCAGAAATTATTAGTTGGATAAATAAACTTACATTAAGTGAGAATGGAGGGGGGTTGGGCCTTGACTTGGCACAAAGGCAAGATCAACCAACTATGGAAATGCTTCGTGCAAAGACACGTATGTCTGGCTGTTACTATAGCGTTAGTTTTGCTTGTGCAGGTGCAGGTTGGTGCATACAAATATGCTTAATTTTGCCCTTTTATGGAAGAGGCAGGATTGCAATTCGAATACGAATTCAGTACGTGGAAAATGCGAAAATACGTTCCCAGGGTAACATCGACTTTCCCCTGTAATGCTTTGTTTGTGTGAATACCTGATGTTCGACAGTCCTTTAGGATTTGTCTGACCCTTGTACCCGTGAGCTGGACTTCGGGCCATGCTCAGGTCCATTTGCTCTGCTCCCTTTGGAATAAGTGTAACCAGTCTCACTTACTGCCTTCTCCCACACGATGAGAAGTCACGAGAACTTACATTGGTGGCAGCGGAGAGCGAAACCGACATTTTCCCAATTATCACTGTCCTAGCACGTACCATTCGTTGCGTGTATCTACGTTGTGGAAGAGACCCATTTGCATCGGTGGCGATAGAATCTTTGAATACTCCACATCAAGGGAGTTGAGACTAACGTTTGAATTTGGCTTCATCTTAGTCCCGTGTTCCATAGACAGGCTATCAACCACTGAAGCGACACCACCGTGAACCATCTGGAGAAGTTTCGTGTTGGAATATCCCACACAAAATTCGTGCAGAGGTGTCGGAAATGACACTGCGGATCTCCCTACATACGGGATGGTGGCTCATCCCGTTTATCCTGGCGGTCACTTTGAATTTATCTGGCTCTTGTACATGTGGGCTGGTCTTCGGACCACTCTAACTTATGCCTTCTACCACCCCATAGGAAGTTTCGGGGAGCTACACTGGTGGCAGCGGAAAGCGAACCCGACATTTCTTTGACGACTTTTAGGTATAAAGTGCTTTTGAAGACCCTCTTCTGCAGCCGAGATGAGGTTTCTCTGAGGCTTGTTCTTTGTCGGTCATTTGTTAAAAACGACATAGTATCCGGGACAATCGATTGCCAAACAGACACCGCTATCTTACTGACATTCTGCGTTTGTGTTGCCAAACTTTGCCAATTCATCGAGTGATTTCCGGAAAAGAACAGTAGGAACATACCGACGAGCAATGGTTCAATCGGATGATGCAGATACCCCAAAATCGGATTCCCTTGGTCCGAAATTCAAAACTTTTCTTTTCACGACAAGAAATTTTTAATCGAATCAGCAGACAAGAATGCAAATGGATTCTACTTTTTAGTGGAGAAATCCAAGATCAATAAGCGCATTTTGGCGTTGCGCACTGGTAATCATGTGCTATACATGCGTAGAAGGAAATCTGACTATCGAAGTGCAGTAGATAAAGATACAGACGTAAAGAGGACGTGAATTGAAGGAGGCGCATTTACCTTGGTGACGAAGAATCCCTGAATCTTTCACAACGAAAGGATTTAGACTGACGTCTACATTTGGTTTCACTTTATTCCCGTGTTCCACAGACAAGCTATCAAGCACTGAAGCGACACCGCCGTGAACCATCTGGAAAGGTTTCGCGTCGGAATTTCCCACACAAAACTCGTGTTTAGGTGTCGGAAATGACATTGTGGATCTTCCTACATATGGGATGGTGGCTCATCCCGATTTCTTTTTAACTTGTATGTCTTAGATCACAGTTCCACCGTCTAGTCAGACCAACCGTAACTCCAGATACAGTTGAAGCTACCGAGGAGACCAAATACGGTTCCTCAGTCTCGTGTTGTCTGTCGACTGGCGCGGTTGGCTCGTGGTTGCTTTGCCTTAGTAATAAATATGTTGTGATGGCTGGTGAAGTGGCGCAGTGTAATGCTTTGTTGATGTGACCACCTGACTTTTGGTAGTCACTTTAGAATTTGTCTTGCTCTGTACATATGGGCTGGCCATGTTCGGGCTCATTTGTCCTGTCATTTCCAGAATACATGCATTCAACCACACTTATACCTTCTTCCACCCTATTGGAAGGCTCGGAATGATACATTAACGTACAAAAAATAAATTGTATTTTAATTTACAGAATTTAAATCAAGAGGTAAGTGAAAGACATTTTGAGTGCCAACTAATTCGATGTGTGCATCATCAAGCTCGAAATCATGCCATACATAACTGCATCGTTTTGCGATAGTAAATTTTGTTCTAATTTCGTTACAATCATGTATTTCAAATATATGCAAAAATTTTCGAACAATTGAACGCCCACAATGTTTGTTTATTAAGGCTACGGAAACGTGGTAATATATATCTCAGCCACTCTGTCATCCTTTCAAAGTTCTTGAGGCGGCTGTGCATGTTTGTTGCTTTCGTTATTTCCGAGTACTTAAATCAATTAAAAATTATCTAACCCTAAATATTATTTATCGATGACATGACAGAGGTCCGAATTGTTCCACGCGATCCCACTTATCATTTCATTGCCAATGATTCAAATTTTACCAATTCGAAAACTGCCTATCGCACCACATTTTCTACACCTAATGGAGGTTCTCGGCTTTCTACCCTTGCTCAGAGGTTTCGTGAGAACTGGCTAAAATGTAATCCGTCGTTTCGCGACACTGATGATTCCTTAACGAACCTGACCTGGTTGTTCGTAAGTTCCCTAACATTCATAATTTCCTAGGATATGAGCCCCTTTTCGCTGGAATCCGACGGTCTTGGCCCAAACAAGGGTAACAAGTTCGTCGTCGACCGCCCAACAGGTTAGTTTGCTTTATTCCTTGTCTCCATTTTTTAGTCTTCACTAACGCTAAAATATCCTGGCATCCAACACACCCGTATGCAGGTAGTTTACTGGATCCCCAGGTTAGAATGGATTATCGAACAAAATGGACAGGGAAGCCTCCATTTTCTTATGCTTCTTTGATTTGTCTGGCCATGAGGGAATTGGGGAAACCTAAGGTTACGCTTTCTGATATTTATGGCTGGATCATGGCCAATTTCGCATACTATCGCCATACAGATTCTAGCTGGCAGGTGAGCAAAACTTATTAAAGTTTATTGTCGATATCGTTAGTTGTTCCTTCCTTATCTTATGGCATGGTCGTCATTACCTTTATACTTGACTGTTTCGCGTATGAGGCATTATAAAGTGATGCAAATTTTCCTTAACTTCTCCTCATTACAGCCACTCCTAATAAAATCACGAAATTGAACATTTTTAGTCTGAGTAATGTCTTACTATATTGAGTTCTACACATTATCGATCGTTATTGCAGGCAAATCAATGCTTATCGGGCTTTTGATTGATAGCAAAACGTTGAATCACCCAAAACATTTTCGTAATGTCTTTTTTGGAATATTAGTCCCAAACTTGAAGATTAGTGCGCAAATTACACCATTTTTTATTCCAGAATTCCGTGCGGCACAATCTTTCTTTAAATAAATGTTTTGAGAAAGTACCTCGCGAGAAAGGCGAACGGGGAAAAGGTGGGTTCTGGAGAGTAAATCCACGACATGCTGACTGGTTGGAAGCTAACTTGGCCAAATGTCGTCGAGCCGCACCGCCTCCAGGGCCCCCACCCCCGATTCCGCGGTCTCTTCTCCTTGAAAAACAGCAGGAACAGCAGCAGCAACAACAACAACTGCAGCATACCCATCAGCCACAGCACCCTAGAGATAGCATCTACCTCACTTTTTCACCAACCTCTTCACAACCGACACCAGTACCTCAACAGCCACAATCACAACAGCATCATGCTTCAACACTTATCTGTTATCAGTCGGTCAATATACCTCCTGATGTATCAAATGAGATAGAGACAGTTACTATTAAAGCAACATCCGAGGCTTTTCAACAGCACCAGTCACAGCCACAAGTGCAACCACACGTGCGTCGAAGAAAGACACCGCCTTGTTCGATGTATCCACCTGGCGATAAGTTCGACGGGGAACCGGATTTGGTAGAGGTAATTCGTAAACCTCCTCCATATCCCGCTTTTTCAAATCGAAAGAGGCTGGCTCTGGCGGCATCTGCTCCTCGTCAGCGAAATTCTACGTGGTCTCAGTCTTTGGGTGTCAAAAGAGACGTGACACGAACCAGTATAGGCGATGAGAATGGGTATTACGACCAAAAGTCATGGAAATCGGAAGAGTCAGGGTCCAGATTGTCTCACTTGCAGGTCTGTGAAGCAACATTTTGATATCGCAATATTTAGATCATAATGGCCTAAAGTTTTTCTGTGTTTTTAGTCTGCCTCTTCGTTTGCGACACGGAAGAGACGTAATCTCGTAATGGACACTTATGAGCCTTTTTATTTACCTCAAGCTGGTAGACAACAATCCACAACAATGATGGACACTTATGAGCAAAAACTTCTGACAAATGGAGCTTCCGCTTACACGTTCACGACCACCTCTGAAGGCTTAAAACGCCGCGTAGAGACGCAAATGAGGCAGAATTTGTCGGAGGAACAGACACCTCTTTTACCAGATCACATTAGTCTACCCTGTTTGGATTCACTTCCTAGCATTGCTGAGGAGCAAGATAATATGGAAACAAATACCACTACTGCAGAGTCATGGAAGGAAGACTTTTTCGATTTCCCCGGTGTCTTACCATGGCAGACTGTATCAGCAGCAGAAGAGCGTCCTAACCTCACAGTGGAGTGCAACACACCGGACCTAGAACCCACTAGTCACACAGTCCAGTCCTCATCTTCCTCTAGTCCGAGTCCTCTGGCTTCTTTTGCTTCCTTTGGACAGTCAGCGGCTAGTTCAACCTCCTCAAATACAGATTCAGGCGTTGCATCTTTGGTGAATCCTTCCGATGGTCTAGATCTTGGTCCACTTGATCTGGATTTCGATACAGTCTCATCTGCTCTCAATGACCTTGTCGAATCAAACAATTGTGCCATTCCACCAATTGACGTAGACTTTGCCGAACTGGGCGATTCTATGCCAAAGTCACTTCAAACGCCACCGGTATCATCGGCGTCCATGTTTGGTGCACAATCAGAAGGTCGCGATTTCAACGAATCTTCCTGGAATTTCGACATCAATAATGGTGTCAGTGAAGGTGAATTCTTTGATAATGGCCTTGCCCTAACCTAGCGCAGAGGTGCGGGGAAAAAATGTTAGCTCTGGCAACTTGATGTCAACTGCTTTCTTCTCCCACCTTCTCCATCTCTTCCTTGTTGGTTGATTCGCGCCTCATCCTCTAAGACTGACTTTGTGGTTTTGTATAACTTTATTAATAGTTGTGATACACTACGTGTGAGAGGTGGTTGGTTACTATACAAACGCATCATCGACCTCGGTTCATGCACTACTTGAATTTCTCCTCCTCACAAAACACCAAGAAGACAACTTACTGCACCATGCCTCCCACCCTTTCCCTCTAATTCTCCTTCACGGTTGTATAGTTCTCTTTTAAATCGGTTAATTTTAATTTTGCAAACCGCGCGCCTCAAGCTGTAATGGCGATGAAAGGAATAGTCGAGGATAGAGGTTGAGACAGTGCGGATTGCGTCTCCGAGCGTTTCTTTCTGGCCGCTGATTATGCACCACTTTTTCCCACTGGAAAAATATGCCAGCAAATGCGTGCTCACATCTCCGTCTTTTTCGTGTCCTAGCAGCTACGGGTTTTTTTATCCACCTCAAGGCATTTTATGGCCCAAAATAAGTGTGTTGTCTTCAGTTATTAGAAGGGCTTACCTACACCCAAATCTAGGTGACGTGACCACTACTCTGCTGTTTGTTCGATATTATCGATCTTTTTGGCAGGCCGTGGCGTCATTTGTGCGTGAGACAGATGCACTCCTAGCCAATCGCATGCTCACCTCCTCCCTCTCCCAGCATCACTACTTGTGCGGTGGTCTGTAATGCGGTCGCCCTGGCTTTGAACGCCATAAGATCAAGCATCAGTCACCATGTCATTGTCAAGTAGCGTAGGCGTTTGTGGAGGTTTTGTACCTGAGTTTTTCTGACAGAGGGAAACGATAGCACGTCTGGGTTCCATCACTTTGGCGATATGATCGTGCCAGGCAATGACGAACATCCATTGTTACATTTTATCGTGACTTGGTCCCCAGAGTCGCCAAACCATTGGTACATTAAAGTTTATTGGAACCGGAAGGGCGATGTATCCGGTTCGGAGGGAAATAGTTTAGGCGTGACCCCATTCCTACTTTTACTGACTCAAAAACGTGAATCATCGACTGGAGACTCACGGCAGGCCAAAATAGATCTGCTAGTCGTAAAAGGCCACTTGTACTTTGTGACGGTTCCTGGTCGTTAAGGCGTACGAAGCCATGTTGCTTTCCCATCGCCCATGATAAAAGTTTCTAAGTTTGGAAATTTGGAACAACAGGGTGGGTTTTGCTGAGGTGGAGATAATTTCGCCTTGCACAACTTTGACTGGCGGCAGTGGTTCGTGTCTTTTGGCTCTGGTGCTAATACGACGCCAGTGCATCGTCGTCACGTTTGAAAGAACCAACTATCCTCATTTCAGATCACCTTGTGATTCATTAACTCCATATCCAACAGACTTTCTTGGAATTTCCATTTTGTCGGCGACTCAATGTTAGATTCATTCAGGTCTTTTTTATCTCAGGTATTTATCCTAGGCTCAATCCCTTCCAAAATCGGTTGTTGGCGTCTGCATGACAATTTTTTCAGCGTACTCAAGTGCATCCTCCCACATGGTTTACAGAACACTGCTTAGAACTGCACATCGTATCTTGGAATTTCAACGGACAAAGCACTACTCCCAAGCCCAAGTGTAAGCTTGGGCACGAGAATAGGGAGGAGGCGTGAAGGGCTACGGAAAAGATAGAGGCAGTCGCATCATGTTTGTGTAAGTGTATGCTAATCGCCGAGATCCTGCATAATCGTATGGTTGGGGGTCCGTAATCGGCCATAGGAGGGGATGTGCACGTGAATTGGGTGCGACTCCCCTTTTTTATGCTAATGCACAACAGGGAGAGACGAGGTGGATAAATGCTGACAGAGGAAGGGGGTGGGTGTGAGTCGGCATGATTCGTTATCCCTACATCCTAGCACAGCATCAATGATCTCTGGGTACAGCCATAACTACATAACCTCTTTGACACAGTTTCAGAAAGACATTGGGCGGCATCCAAAAGGTGACAATAACAGCGAGAGGCCTTTAGAGTGACGGGTGCTTGACGCATGCCTTCGCCATAGCGGAGATTAAAGATTTGTTATAGTGAGATAGGAGTAGTAGAAGCCTACGTTGTCCTCGTCATCTGCTCACAATTCTTGAGGGTGGGGACGTTTTTCCTCCCACTACTGCCACAGTTCTAAGGTGTTATAAACTCTTATGGACGAGGTCATCATTTGGGATTTAAATCATGGTCTTACCGAACAGCTCTACGATGGACTAGTAATTCATCACATTGAATAAGTTGGAGGTTTGTGTCGTGTGAGTTGCCGCTGGTGAATGCAGTGCGCATGATAACGTCTCAAATAACCCAACATTCGGCATTCACACTTGTGCTCACAAAAACTTTTCTCTCTCACTCACTACTCAGATTTCATCGCCCCAATCGTGCAGCAAGGCCATTGTTTCGATAATCTTATTTTGTTTTGTCGGTATTTTTTCACACCGCAATTGGTTACAATTGTTGGATAAGAAATCTCATGTAATTTATGTGTCGGGATGAGTAGTATTGTGCCGGCACCTTGTTCACATCTCAGTTTCAGCAAAACGCTATGTGCAGGAAAGTGGGAGATAGAGGCTATGACACTAAATCTTAACCAAACAATCTGGTCTCAAAGCCATACCAGCATTTCATGAGACTTTCTGCACATGACAATACACTTTTCACTCGGCTCTTGTTTTCTTCTATAAGAGGTACTGGACGGATGAATAGGCCTACCATGCACGTAAAGGATTGCCAAAAATACCCTTGAACCGGATATTAGCGGAAAAACCTCCACTTGACACAAGGCGCAGGTATATCTTTTCTGTGTTAAGCAACAGTTCCCCTTGTTATTTTAGCCCATGTTTGTATTTCAAAATATAAGAAAACTATGTGTTAACAGTCTGGAAACTTTATTAATTTTAGTTTTTTTGGTGCATTTTGTTCTATGCACGTTTAACAATTTTGAAAATGCTGTTTTTGTCGCTTCGGGCTTATCCTCAACATTACTCGTACTTTAAACTTATCAACTCTTGATTTATAGGTAGTTACATTAAAAGGTGGTCCATTTCAAAAGCCTCGCTCCTCTTTGACTTCAATGATTGGCAAACTAAGAGGTGATGTGTTTAGGATGGATGGGAAAATAATCATACCCGATTGGAGACTAAATCGACGATGGTAATGGCTCCAGTCCCTTGTTTAAGAACTGCTATGGTTACCAATACTTACGACTGCCTGTATTGTTCCCCTTACTCCTTTCGCACGCGTCCACGTGACAAACATGAGGCTGGCCGCAAGAAACTAAGTTTATAGAGCATTGTCGAATTTGAAGGTACAGTAAACTTACCATATACTGCATTGAGCACTCAGATTTCCAGCCAAGGCATGGGAATTCTGGAGTAGTACTGCATCTAAAGGCTGATTATAGCTAATCTGCTCCTGTGACTATATTTTATGAATTTGAGATCAAAAAATGAGGCATAAAAGTAGACATGTTAACTCTAACATTTGCTAAAATTTAAGTAATATCATCTTACATATGGGCCAAATAATAAGGCAGTTTAAAAGTGGGAACAATTTTAAATAAAAGAAAGCGAATAAAACTTTTCATTTGCCAAGGGATGTACATTCGCAATTGGATTGTCATAGCGACGGGTAAACATGTGCTTGAATGGGGAAGAAGGAAGGGGATGAAGAGGCTGTCCTGATAAAGGCGAGTCAGGTACTGTCGTCACAATTTGTGGGCGTAGACGTATGACTCAATTCATTGTTTCCACCCTGAACTCAGTTAACGCATCGTTTCCCCTTCTCCCGGAGAAGGAGTGTTAACATTTCTAGACTATTCATCAGCGATCGGTTTGAACTAGTTTTTACGTCTATTACGATAGGCGTCTTCTTAATTCCATGCAGTTTCAACGCATCGTGTTCGTGTTTATCTCGTGAGCGGTCTCAATGTATCCAAATGGTGCCATTGTGGCCAGGACAGTTGCAAACGGATGCTTTAAATATACGATTAGGCGACATCCAGTACAGTTTTCGCTCTAATTTCTCGCGCTCAAATACATCGCCATCCTTCAATGCGTTCTTAAGCCGCTGCTATGTGTTTTTAAATAAAAATACGGTTTCGGGCTTTTGCGCAAATTTATGACAATAGCACTAGAATATTGAGATCGTTCCGGACCGACATAAATTCGCTTGTCACACCGACGGCATTGAGGTCTTCTGTTATCCTAACGATACTTCTTCATGCTAGGGATTTAATTATTTCAAGTGAAATTCTCTTGCACAGTGTCTGCAGAGGTACTCTGAGCAGGGCAAATACTCCAATCTAGTCATCCTTTTTATTTTTGGGAAAATCTTAGTGAGAGCCTACAACCTAGCTCAAAGGCGTGGCCGCCCGGCGGAAGTAAGGTAGAGGATCCCCTCTTTTTCTCGCTAGCAAAACTTACGGCTTACAGATAAGCACATCACTGTTTGGCGCGTCATATAAGTCTGACTTCACGTAATTTGCTGTAATATCATTAAATTACAAGAAAGTAAGATTTATGGCTTAAATTTTGAATGTCTGTACAGCTATTCTTATAGCCCTATTCTTATTTATGCGTGTTTATCACCACAAATGCTCTTGACTTAAATTTTTGATACCAATAGGACCTTGATGACAAAAGCTTTGGGTAATGTAGTGTCGCATCAAAAGATCCCCAATGTAGCATTCTTTCACACAATTGTTTCTTTCCACTGGTTGCCAAAGCAACAGCAGCTGGCGCGGCCAAGTCTACGTTGACATAGTAGAGGTAGTGGGCGTCAACCGTGCCTCATGCATGAGTCAGTTAGCCTATGACACGAACGAAAACCGGCGCTTACTCAATGACCTTGGGAAAATAAGCTAGTGAAGCCAACTCCCTGTCTAACAATCGCTGACTAATTTGACATGCCGTCACCAAATTTGTCAAGCCAATGTAACTAGCTGGTACACCTAACATCTCAGCCTCTTGAGCTTTCAGCTGCTGTCTCGCTGCCTCAACCCCATGAAACTCAGTCAAGATCCGTTTACACGGCACTTTACCCAATTTTGCTAACGAGCTACTAGAGACATCCACAATGACCCAGTCTTGATGCCAGTCCAGCGGCATCCATAGCCTATCCACACGTTATTGCTTTTCTTGCTCCTTTCATAAACATAATTTCCAAACCGTAACCGGTCTCAACAAAGACCATACGCCCGAAACAATGGGTGCTTAACACTACAGACGCGACCCAACGGAGATCACGAGTCAGCGACCCATTAGCGAGCCACAATTGCAGCAAATGCTTTGAAGTCTGCGAGCACTCTACCCACGTCTAATGCGCTTTGATCCCTGGTGCACGCTAATGACAGGCCACATTACTACTCGCTGGTACGCTCTGCTATGCCTTCAAGGATAGTTCGAGGTGGTGTACAAGCAACACATGCATCCCGCGGGTATTTTAATGCTTTTACAGGATACCACGGAATATAGGGGAAGCGATCACTGACTCGATAACGAGTTACACAATAACAAAGGATAAAAAGAAAACTCAACAAGAGAGCGCGAGTAAAACAAGTAGGAAAATTAGGCTTTTGTAGACGTCTCGTAGAGGAATGACCACGAGAGGTGTGAGCAAATAACTATACAGGCGGAATGAAATTCAGATTGGGCGGAGGTACGATAGACGTTTCGCAGGGAATGCAGTTGGCAGAACATAGGCATCTATGGCTGTAAAAGGGGAACCACTACTTATTTTTATTAAGTAGAAATTATGGCAATGATTGAGAAATGGCCTTACGTGATGCAAGAGCATATACAGGAGGGAGGATTGAGCACCTATGTGAAATCATCCAAGACAATCTGGTTGAATGGTAGCAGCTGCTGCAGGTATTTGTTGACTACTAGCACCGCGCAAAGACGAACCAGCAAAACGCTTTCGCGAGCTTCGTTCAATCGCACCATCCTACAGAGGCAGCAAGCAATAGCAATGATAGCTAAAGCAATTATTTAACAAGAGGTTAAGCAAAAAGCAATGTTTGCGAAATGACGAACCTTTTCCACAGCTACAAAATTAAATGCTCTAGGACTGATAAAGGAGGCATCGATGGAATGGTCTATTATTCGGTCGGTAATTTCATCAACTGAAGGACGTTCCAAATGGTTGACTTTACAACAGTCCACTGCCAAGTCAAGAAACCACGGTGGACAGTCTGGAGGTACGGGTAAATTGTCTTTATCAAGTCCAAACTCCTGTAACGAAGCAAGAATGGAAGGATTTGGGTTAGTTAGTCAAACAAGCTGATCAAATGAAGTGAGTAGACGTATTTAGGTCTGAAACCTACATCAGTCCGAGGAATAGTGCTTCCATTATTCACAAGTCGCACGATGAGCTCGCAAACCAATAGGCCAAAAGCAAAGATGTCGGCAGCCGGAGAGTAGGGTGCCAATTTACGTAGACACTCGGGAGCAGTGCAATAGGCGCTGCCTGCGATTATTGTAGCATCCACGTTTCGTCTGATATGAAATGGAAGGAAATGTGGGGAAGCACAACCACGCCAGAACTTCGGCAGAATAGGCAGGGAAATGGCAATAGAAAGACCCAAATGTACTTAACACCTTGTAATGCTACTTCTCAAAGGAGAAGCCAAAGGAGCTACAGCTTTAAAGATACTCGACTTATGCAAATAATGGCAAAGGGACGTCATCACGTGGCACCGAGTTGTTCTGCGCAACAAAGCACACAAGTGACTGACCAAAAGCCACTTAACGATCCAGTATAGGTGCCAATATCTCGAACAATTCTTGATCATGTGAAAGGTTAGTCAAATATCTCGCTCTTGGTCAAAGAAATAAATAATTCCGCTTTCTCAACTACTTATGCAGTTGGTCAAGGTTTGTATCACCGCAGTCAAAGCACTGTAAAGGCTGAAGATGAGACCAACAGGAACTAAGTTTAACCAAAGTTAGTCGAGATAAGAAGTGAAAACGGGAAGTGGGAGAAAGAACAGCCATGTTTGATGGCCTGGTAGAAGATCGACGACCACATTTACGTTTTATAGTACATGTAAACAATTGTTTGCGTTGTACACGTTAGAACAAGTCGCCTTCCTGAGTCAAAAACTAAACACAAACACTACTGATGGTGGTCACCTGATGGAAGGCACTACCATTAACTCAGTCGCGGCTTCAAAAGCTCAGACAAGCAGGCCTGAGGTAGTTCCCTGTACCCATGATTAGTCAAATACAACTAAGCATTTTTTTTTGTCAGTAAATGAGACATGATGCAGATGTATTATGTGAAAAGGCACCAGTTGATTGAGCCAATAAGCACAACCCCATTGGTCAACCCACGTTTATGATTGGTTGAATTAATTGACTATTTAAAGGAGGTAAATGCTAAATAATGGAAATGTTCTTGTGAGAAGACACCGGCCACACACAATTGCAGATACAAGACTTAATAATTAACAACAACACGTTCGATATCTTTTTATGCAAAGAAAACTAAGGAAAAACCAATAAGGGCGCAGTCCCTTGGGGCAACTCCTAAGATTATAATTGGTTAATTTAATTGTTCCTTTTACGCAATCAGATGCTAGACAATGCCAATATTTTTGCGACCAGAGGCCGGTTAGTCACCCTAGCGCTGCTCCATCCATTTGTGCGAAACGAGTCCAAGGTAAATCTGCAGTTCAACTGCGTAAATTAATAACCTAAGCCCTCTCTTCATGTGCGTGTCCGATTGGATGATTAGTTCGAGTCTTAAAGACAAGGAAGGGAAGCACTTTACCGTTAGGCTAAGCGGTCACAGTGTGAATGAAAGTGTTCAGAACATATCAAGACCAAGTCAAGTAGCTTTAAACACCAATAAGACATGCTACTGGCTCAAGTGTGCTTATTCTCCTACCCGAATACCCACAATTTAAAGTCAGTGAGTGCTTACTACATAACTTTCGCTAGGAAAGAGCATTTACGTCGAACAGCTTCTTAATGTTCGACCTTAAAAGAAGCGAGTGTAGTTTAAAGGTACAGTAAACGTGACCGCTTGATGTGGAGGTGAGTTAAAGTACTTTGAGGAGAGAATAGATATAGAATTGACCAATTAAAAGCATGCGAGAAGGCGAAGTTTGAGTATGGTGATTAGCTCAGGAAATCCCATCAACCAATGACAGGGTAAATATCATGATCCTTAAACGCCTGCCTTTTAGCGCTTAGAGAGCAAATAATCTGTCTGGCACGAGATTTCCTTGTCATAACCAGATCAAGGACACACGGCGTGGTATCGACATCAGAGCCAGATAAGAAAGTCGGAACGACATATGTGTCTGGGTGTGTGGTACAGGTGGCGAACATATTGAAACCCCTTAGACTTGTAGGATGCCCTCACTCATTTCCATCGGATGAAACAAATAAATGGTTTAAAGTTAAGGTCACTTACTGTCTCAAATCGAGACAAACACCCAGATCACCGACAACAGCAGTGTAAGGAGAGTATCGATGATACCGATGAAAGAGACTGGCGGGTGCGACGGAGGGACGGATCACGGGAAGTCCGAGACAGGGCGGTGACTTGGGATCCCAGAGCTCGGTCATCTGATCGATGCTCAGTCCATGAGAGGATTCTATCTGAGAGGACGTGGAAATTTCTCCACTACCACCTCCATTTCGATTACAGGTCCAGGCTGGCAGTGGTATACTTCCATCACAATTGACTCGGATTAGAATATTCTATGATGAAAGGACATCTGCTTATAGTCACGATTTCTAACCTTGTACAGCTGGTACACTAACACGATAATATCCTGTGCCCTTATGGTTGTGCCAAATTGACTGTCAGGTTGTTACAGCCTATTACGTCCTCAGGGATGACTTAGGCAGTAAATTAGCAGCCAGCAAAAGTACAAAAAAGGTTGAGCTTGTTGGCAGGATAAACACACTTAGCGGAAAGGCAATTGTTACAAAGAAAGGCGGTGAAACAGAGCCTATTTTTTTGCTAAGTCCCAAGTTTGTAGCATCGCACAGCAGTAAGGATTGAAATTGGGAAAATCGACAAATTCAGCTAGCTGAAATCGAGTATAGAGAAGTACAAACGAGTGTAGTTCCTCCCTATGTTGCCAATTAGCATGAGAGATGTGCTTGCCCTGCCCTCCAAATTATTTCACTTTCGGTACAATTCCTGCCGCTCTGGGAGTGTTATCGAAGCCAAATCAACTGCCTACGTAGCTACGATTATCACCCTTAATCGTCCTAACTATGAACAAACTCTTTGAAGGTTGGCGGACATGACAAGAGCGCTGTGTTGTCGAAAATACCGCTGTAGATGAGATCATTTGTGGTGGGACGAAGTAAAACCTAGCCAACCTCAGAGTTTGAGAGTGCATATTAAAAAAACCAGGGATTCAAGAGCGTCATGACTTTTTTTGCATCGCAAGTGGATGAGATGAAATGCACTGCAGATGATGAGCAGAGGCATGCATTTTATGCTTGAACATTGCATTTGCCTTTGACTCCAAGCAACACTAAATAAGTCATTGTTGTGCAATGCAGAGGTCGAAGAGGGGGCGGATAAGATTTGCGGTCGGTAGGGTAGTTTTGCATTGCCTTACAAAAACATCGCATTATTCACTGCCCGTGGGTGGTTTTCACGATCCCAATTGCAATTTCATTCTGACCTTTGGCAAGAGAACAGGTCACAGTCTGTGAGGCTGTGTAAACCTTTCACTCATTCACCAAACATTCCAAAGTGCGTAGGACGATTTTGACAAAGTATGTGAAATGAATGTGAGTGGAATCCAGACGCCTGGTAGCCTCTAAGTCTTTCCTTTGATGGGAGTGTAAACAAATTGTCCCAATTCATTTTGACTTATCAATAGACGTACGTCATTCTTCATTATTAAAAAAGCCGATGTCTTATTGCTATCCATCAAAATCAATCATGGAGCAGTGCGTCCTGACAACCTATTGCCTCTAAAACCGGTTGTAAAAACGATCCCAGAAGCGTGCATTCGGACAAGTTAGAGTCAGGCGAGAAGAAACAGATAACTAAGCAGTAGGAAAAGCAATAAAGGTCGCTTTGCCGATAAGCTTAACAAGGCATAGAAACCGACGTCAGAAATGGCATAAACTTTTGTAATCAAGTGGTACTTGAACTGTCAACAATCTAATTAGTTGTTGAAAAAAGTCTGCTAAACCAAGGGCGTTTTAAATGCTGATGAAACTGGTGGAAATTTGCACCATTCCCCTAACCTGCCAGGGGATTATTTCCATTAAAAATTATACACCATTAAGACCTTACAAGAAGGTAGAGGCTGTCAATAGATTTGACAAAAAGTAAAAAATGAAACCAACAGGCTCACTCGGAGGAGTTGAGTCACCAGGCCACCCGCTGCTAAAACAGCCAGCCAGCCTTAAAAATTGCTCTTAATACACGGTCATTAACGCTATTAACAATAGTGAATGACATAAGATTCGTGAGGTCATATGACCTTGTCAATAGGTTGACTACCCCATGACAAAAGCGAACTCCTGGTGCGAAATTTAAAAAAGGTCTAATGCGTAATGGTGACATTAACAAGAAATGTGATACCATTGGAGATGTGGTAGCGTTCTAACGTGGAGTAATTAATTTAAATTATTCCACCGAAATCCAGAAATTGCCCTTCCATTTCATCAATGCAAAGAAGTAACGGAGAACCAACGGTCCTTATTGGAGCGTATCAAAGTTCGAGGTGGAAGTGGGTGGATTTATCGGTACAATTCATTGCTGTACTAAAAGAAGCTGGTATGAAATACCGTTTGCCTTAATCTAACCCGGTTGTTGCTTCTATTGACAACACAAAAGTGACACATCAAGGCACCCCAAACCAAACTGTGACAGTAAGAATGACAAATGAATTTCGCACCGGTCGGTAAAGTTAAAGTAATTTGCGGATTGCAACAAGGTGATGGAAGAGCGATGAACCTGAAAGGTCAACCTACTGAATGCAAACTCGCAATCAGCAAAAGACAGAGTTAACTAAGTGGGGCCAAATGCAGTTCAGATTGTTGAACGCATACCAAAGGACTGGCAGCCAATGATAATGCTTTGATTTACGTCTAGAGATATGCCACCTGGACAAAAGTGTCTCAGCGTCAACTTTACTGTGCAACGCAACTGCATCAGAGTCCAAAATCACGGTTTACTGTGTGAGAACAATAACAAAGGCGAACAAATCTGCACAAAGAAAGATTCGAGGATAAGTGGTGGAGCGAAAAATACAAAAATAATAGTTGCAATAATGGATAGGCGCTCAAGAGCGTCCTCCTCTTCATCGGCACAAAGTGTCCAGGAGTGCTAAGACTGTAAACGGTTACATACAGCACGCTAAATTCGTACGCGTCTGAGATGTAGTGATTGAAAAATCCCATTTGACAAGGAGAGAAAGTGGATTATGAGAATACCTATCAAAAATAATGCTTGCCTACTTTAGTGAAACATTCAATTAATTGGTTTCTGGGACTATGCCGTATGGACTAACGGTAACTAATACTCCATCAAAATTAGACTAGAAATAACTATTGAAATGAACATGGAAAATGCAACGATAATGTTTGAAGATAGTTAAAAAAAAATAATCGCTGCTTAAGAGGCTGAAGGGATGGAAATTCTTGTGGATGGCTGATAGACGAACAGAAGGGTCAACTCCAAGGTCACGGTAAGGTCAATGAGGTTGTGCATCCCTCGGATTGATTTAGATAATGACCTAAGGGGTAATGGCTGCGATGGTAATTTGAAGACCAAGATGGAATGCTAACCTCATAGAGTAGGCAACATATTAGGGTTACCTCGAATAATGAAACCCGATGAGAGACGTGGATCACAGAGGTGGAGCATTATCAACTCCCATAAACAATGACAACACCCAACTTGAAAGGCATCAATGACCGCGAGCCTAAAACGCTCATTTGGCGCTTAATGCACAAATGGACCTGACCCGAAATGCACAACGGTGTGAAGATAATCGCGATGTGAAACGTTACTCTGCGCCGGCTACGAGCACCAAGAGGCATGATAAAGTGGCAAATTAAAAAAGCATGTGACATTAACGCCAAACCCAAAAAGTCTTACTTTTAAAAGTTCCACATTTTTTCGCTAAACTGAACACACTTCATGGGAAGTGGTGGGTATTCTTTCCCCCTCCCTCTTCGAGATAAAAATCAGTCGCGACTATGAAACAAAACTTGAATGGATATAAAAGAAAACTTTGAAGTTGAACGATGTGGGGTGGGTTTCTAGGGCTCAGAATTTCAACTACAAAAAATGCATACCCGAGGTGAAACTAGTGCAGCTTCAAATAATGGGGTAAGGTGAATCCAAAACTTGAAATTGATCACTATGAAATGCAATAAATCTAATGGAAATGAAAATCACAAATGCTCGACACACAGAAGGCGAATATGTTTGACCGACAACACCAAGATGTACTGCTGTAACGCTCAGACCTACAAAATAGCTATTTTGTCAAATAGGTAATAGAGGAATAAGCGCACCTGTGAAGACAAATCTCGATGGATGAGACGGTTTTCGTGTAGATGACTGAGTCCCCGAATTATGTCATGAGCTAGACTCACACGACAGCTCCATGGCAAAGGTGCGGAATTCGCGTTCAGAAGGTCTACGAGGCTTCCACCGTTGGCGTACTGAGAGAAAAGACGGAAATCGTGAATTTGGTAGAAGCCTAGGTACTCAATTTTCTGTGGTGGACTTGTTCACATGTACCAACGGAACGGCGACAAAATGAACTTCTAGCCGATGCCATTCATGCCTTCAGAAATGGCAAATTCCGAATCGGGATGCATCTTGTCCGTGTGATAAAGAGGCAGCCATTTTATCAGAAAGCGCTTACATACGTGTGCCACAGCTGGTTACACAAGTGAGAAAACCCCCATACAGGCATCAAATGCTATTGAAAAGCGCAAAAGCTGACGGCGCAGTCAGCTTCAGAAGAGTGAGTCGGTTGTAGATATATATGATTCAGAAGATGGACATTCGTTGTAATTGTTTGATTGGTTTGCGCAGGCACACGAAAAAAAGCATGATCGGTGTTAGTGAGCACGCACTCAGTCATCGGTAAGTGACAGGGTTAAACATAGCGGCAAAAGGCAGGGAGCAAAAGTACTCAGAGAAAGTTATTAACAAAAGAGGAATAGTAAGGGTAAAGTCAACGAGCATTAAATGATGAACGAAAAAAAGATGGATAATGCTTTTCAAAGTCAGATAAACAAGTGGTCGAAAATGAACTTATAAAAATGCCACAAAATGATAGCTTTATTAGGCCAACCAACTACCAGACTGGGAATAACAAACGAGTACATGAATAACAACACTCACTTCGGTTAGGCATGCCAACTTCCCGCCAATTATGCATGCACCATAAAGTCTGAAAGAAAAATAAAAGACAAATGACTAGCACAGCACAAAAAAGCATGACCAAACATCAGAAACCAACAAGATATTTATGTGCATAATTATTCATTTTTGACAAGTAATGCTCAAGATAAATTGTCGAACATTATGATGCTCATTTGAACGGCGAATCAAAGCAAAAATTCATGTTATTCGTCGAAACAAACATGTGCAAACATCTATTTAACTGTTTGAAATCGATGTCACAAGCCGTAAGTAACGAAAATCAGACATCAAAGGGTAATGCACATGACTAGATGACAAAAGCCACCAATGGTCGAAACATGAATATACACACCGCTGCACATTTTCATGCCGCAACCCTCGAAGGATCTCAATTTCACGTCTTTGAATATTCCCAGACGGGGATATTTTAAGGGCCAATTTGCGTTTGGATGGCCGGTGGTACACCTTAAAAATGAATAACTTAAATTGAATTACAAGATAAACATTTGCATAAAAGCCACTCCCAAGTTTGCCTACTACGGAGATGTCCTCAAGACAATACAACCGTAGTACAGCACTTTTTATTGCTTCCACTGTTAATGTAGGAGTAGGTGGAGGTCGTTCCTCTTCCATGAGCATGTATCAAGACCTCATGCAAAAAAAATACTAAGTAGAGGAGTACCATACACACTAAGGTTTAAGCGACCGCCTCAAAACTAGATATCGTTAATTGGATGTTTGTAAGATAGAAAAGTAAAAATGCATTGTGCGCATTTATTAAATTTTTAAGCTTTAACTTATCTTTTCAAGCTTTATTATTTCTAACAATAATGCACTTTCTTTATTTTAATATTTTTGTATTCGTTTTTGCTGTCCTTAAAAAACGTATTTCGCGCATACTTCACTAGATGTCCTGGGTGCTGTATAACATTAGCTGATGGTTCAGAGAAAACATTTACGTGTTTGAGTGCACAGATCAAATATGCCATCAACGTCCCATCGTTGGTAGACGATTAAGCTACAAAATTCATTTTCATTTATATAATAGTTCGACAATGATTAGGTGCGCATATAGTACTGGTAATTTCCTCCGGAATCTCTTTGTAATTTCTAAATTACTTACGTGGGCTTCCAAGTTCAGTCTCTTTTTCAATTATGCACCCACAAAGGTTTTGGCATCCGACCTGCTCATGACATTTGTTGCATAAAACCTATGTCTTCCCCTATGATTCCAACTAAATGTTGTTTTTGTTTGGCCCAACAATTTTACAGACATACGAATATAAAGGGTAATTTTTTGAAATCTATACATCCTTAAATGCAGTCGATTGGTTTGCCTTAATGCCGTAAATTGTCATAGAAACATCAGAAAAGGACGGACGGTAGCTATGACCTTTGATCATGCTGCCTAAGCGAAAGTACAAATGAAAAGATTGGCCATTGACAGAGGTCATCTACTTATTAAAGTCGTCATTCGATCCAAGATTAAGGGGTATAAAATGTTTATGTCGTTCTGTTGTCGAGTGTCAGTTGTAATTTTTGATATAATAGAGAGAGCAGCACATTTTAGCAATGGTGAAATTACCAGTACCATCACTAGTACCTTTACCGCCAGTTAAATTATTAGTACCGCACAAATTGTTTGAAAGTTTTTTAAAGTAGGCCTAATTTCGGGCCGATTTTTAACTATACTTTGCCCATTCCAGTGACTACTACGAGTGTAATGCCGGTGTGGGGAAGAAAATAACGTTACACTTTGGACCAGTCGACCACTTTGTAGCGAAACATGGAGAAAATGGCGCGTAATGTATTCAGAGTCTTTATATCGTACACCTCCAGACAGTTTTGGAGACTTGCATTATGGAAGTACAGCGGATTATGGGACTACGGAAGCGATCCATAGGCCTAGACGAATGTGAGATTCGAACGTTATGCACAAATATGGATTTTGTGCCGTTGGGTCTGACTATTTGGCCGTTTGCATCTACACCGAGAATTCAAAAATACAGAACGAAATATCAAGTCCATCGTAATTGATAAAATTTGCAAATGCTTGAATTGAATCTCTAGACTTTTCATAAGCACTAAAAAGATTGCGTATGTTTACACTAAACTCGGAAAAAGAGCGGCCAAATCCCCCCTCCTTCCCCAACACCCTCAGCAAAGCTGTTTATATCCACGACCTGGGGATGAGTCATTAATGCCAACGGTTTTAGCTTAAGTGTGGCTACTGTTGCCAACTGAACCGGTAATTAAAACTACCAGGTCTTAATTTGGTACATTAATTTAATAAGACATGTGCGAACCCATTAGCCAATCAAATTACGGGAAACGCCCGACTTCTGTCCACTAGTTTGGAAGTGCTTACCTTAACGACATCACATTTAAGTAGTATATGCCTACATTACAAGAAATGTTGACGGATGAAAACATAAGGCTCGGACATCTGATGCAACGTTCCAATGAACCGTGGATAATGTGGGTAGTACCTGGGTTTGGGGACAAGGTCACTGAGACTTATATGGGAGGCCTTAAGTGGCATCACTTCCGAAATCAGGGGTTAAATGGCCATAAACTCTCACTCGTTGCAATCCCCTCAGTTATCCGCCCGCTTCGGTTACCACAGCGTATTAAGTGTTGCAAAACATTCACCATGCCACTCCACTAAAGTCGCAAATTTATCCTGTTTGGGGGTCATGTTAGAGGATTGGATCTGTGCTAATCGTTATAGCTTGAAGTTGGAACGTATTAGCTACACCCACTTAAAAACTGCAATTCCCATATTTAATACAGAATCTTGGCAGAGTAGACAGCCCCTCAACTGAGTATTCCCAACATTTTACTGCTGGTACCACTTTTGTTGGCTATAGCTTTCCGGCAGGCTGTGGAACTGAAACCAATGAGGGAGGTTAACGTCGTTTCCAGGAGTCACCACAGCCTCTCCCATCCATGGAATATATCCATTTTCCGCTCCAGCAATTTTTACTGCCCAAAGGTAGGAATCAGGATAGACTGCCTTTAAAATTTTGTTTGCTTATCACTACCACAAGAGTTGCGCCTTGAGACTTCTTAAGGCAAGAGAAGGCGTAACACTAAAGGGGAATGTGTGTTGTAGATGTGTAGGAGGGTTGTCGATGGAAGGGAGATTCTGAAACGGTCTGGAGGGCAGGACACCTAGCACAAGCATAAAATGCCAAGACTCTCAATGACTTTTGATATCGTAGATTCTAAAGGAGGTTGAAACTTGTTTTCTATAAGATTTACTTATGTAAGTATGTCAAGACCAGTTCGTCATCTACCCAGAAAGTCCCTCAACCACCTTTGTTAACGCAATAGATCAGACCACTATGTCATCGAAACATAAAAAAGCTTTTCCTGTTCCCTCTTCTCCACCTTAATGTGTTCGCACTCACTGGGTCACTTCCTTACGCCAGACATGGTAAGATTTTCGATGCATTCCAATCACCTGCAAGTCAAGGATGAATGCCAGTGCACAGCACTATTTTGAATGCAAGGAATTTGAGGACGTCCTTCAACCAATGTCTTTCACATACCATTCGTTGTCAGCAAGTCCGTTTATCCAAAATGAATATCAGAGCTAGAGAGGTTTGTCTTTAGTATTTGTGTCCATTACTAAATGTCAAGCTCGCCTTCGATGGACCCCTGTATTGCCTCATTGATGGACAATGAACAGAATTCGAGGCTGAAACGAATGCAGAATCAAAGCCTCTTACTTCTATTCCATTGCCATTCGTGTATTGCCCCGGATGACTCTATCACACGGAACACGGTGGAAAGGGTACGCCATGGTGCCACACAGAGGTACTGAAAGGCCACAGACGTAAGGTCTTACCACGATAGCAGGTAAACATCAAGCTTTAACTCGACATTCAATCTGGAGTGAGAAAAGGGACGTCTAAAACGCTTTCGCCAATAGATGAGGCAACAGAAGTCTAAACGGAAATAAGCGTGTTTTTCCTCCCCACCCCCATCCTCCCACGTCGTGGTGGCCAAGACAGCGATTGTAAGGGCCTACTTTTGCCTGGTGTGCTTTTGCGCTGAATCATGCCCCAGGAATTAGTAATTAGTTTGCGAGGTCCAAAAAGTCATGCCGTTCATAGTTAGAAGGTTAAAGAGGAATGCCTTAAAACGGTTCTAGGACGTATAAGTGGCCATTTTTGTAGCCCTTAGTCTTTTTGGAAGTCAGGTAGGGAAACAAGACTGAAAGGCAAATTGGTAAATAGGTGAAATTGTGTTGGTAGGGCTTTAGAGTTCTACACAACGACTACAGCCCTCACACATAGACACACACGGTAGACGTTGGTTCCCCCACTGGTGACTGATCCAAAATGATAAGACGAAAGTGCTTCAATACCAACGTCGCGATGTGGAACCGCGTAAGCCGAGGCCTTCACAGGCGATATACGTGACTCCTGAATGTCCATCCGCAGGTACTGATTGCCGCCCTTCTTATTCCTCTACTAGACCATTACTACATATGACGTCAGCAAGACAAAGGATCTGAGGAGGAACATGAGGCTTCAAGACTAGGAAAAGAGCTTACCAACTGACTCCCTCCACGGAAAGTGAGATGAGTCGTGCAACAGTATTATTTTGCATTTCAATGAGAAGTAAGTAAGGCGCGCACACACACACAAATAACGTAAGTAAAATCGTCCATGTTGAGGAGATGTTGAAGTGATTTACCAGTTGTCATCCTCCACTCCCATTTTTAGGGTTGGGAAATTGTCAAGATCATTTTCAACTTCAACTTATCTTTCAGTATAACTTCCTTTCTGCCAAGTGAAAGTTTGTTTATATGGATTTACTTGAGCAAAAGAATTTGCCACTTCATAAGTGCGCCGAGGATCACATGGTAGACTGTCACATTCCATCAGTGACAAGACCTTGTGACAAAGACCTAAACCACCATTTGAAAGGTTGAAGAGTTAAAAAGTAGCCTATTTTGGAAAATGTCACGCCATTATTGTCATCATGATAGCCCCAAACTTGTTCTTGATTTACATTGGCCACACGTGGAAATAGAAGCTGTTAAAGTTTTACCTTCAACTCAGTTTACATTATGATACCTTAACAGGCTGTTTATTTATTTATTTATTTTAAATTTAGGCTGAGGAACCACTCAGGAGCCTCGACATTGTACCTTCGTTGGGTGGCCTAGCCTCCGGAATATGTCAAGAGCCTCAATCCCTTCCACGTATTAAGAGTGCGTATTCATGGGATTTTATGGGGCCAGCAAAGCTGAAGAAATGCATCTACTGCCGATAGAAAAGAAACCTGGGGCGACACGTCTCCCTTCATCATCTGCTTTGGTTCTGTACCCTCCAAGAATGCCATTAACAAGGGAGGCAAGATAAGCCGCGAACCATCCAAGACGTTTCGTTATGGGGCTGTGTCCTTGGCCTGCATAAAGATCATGACTAGTGACCTCCTCTATTAGCATAATCAAAACCAGAAAGTTGTACTTGACCATCCACAGCATGAGGGCAAAATGAAGAGCAGAAAACGAAGCGAAATTTCGCCCAGTGGAACGACATTGGTACTTATCCATTGACGGCTCTTCGTAAAAGCTAGTACCCCCTTACTCCATAGGAGGAAGGAACCCATGATTTTTTGAA